TTAAGTGGTGTTCATTTTTCTAACTACTCCAGTGTTCCGATGAGTTGAACGGAAAAGCCAAAACGATTGCTGGTTTCTGATTGCTTCGGTTCTGGTGAGTGTGTACATGTATCTAGTGTGATTCGAACCCATGTCGTTTGTATTGGGCGTTTTTTTATTTTTCATGTTAGCTACGCCGTAATATGCAACCACTTCCCCGTTTTATTGTGATTTTGAGTGTTTAATGATGTCTTCCTCACCCGTCATGCCATGACCCAGTTTCAACCACACGGCCATTTTGCAACACAGTTCGTGACCCTCGGCGTCACCCGACTGACTATATGAGCGTTCTGTTCAACTGTTAAGCTAGGATTTATTACCGTTATTATCATTATATTGTCACGTGATTTGTTTTACCTTATGTGTAATGTCTTAAGTATCTTTATTGTAATTTGTATATACCAATTCGTATATACCGAGGAAACGACCCCGATTGAAGGTCATGTATTTTATGACGTCACCAATTCGTGTGTAGGTACTGCTTCTAGATCTGTGCCGAAACTTCCTTCATTCATGTATGCTTTCTTTAATGTTTTGTTGCTTTCCCTAATGTTTTGTTGTTTTCCTTAATGTTTTGTTGCTTTCCTTAATGTTTGGTTGCTTTCCTTAATATTTTGTTGCTATCCTTAATGTTTTGTTGCTTTCCTTAATGTGTTGTTGCTATCCTTAATGTTTTGTTGCTATCCTTAATGTTTTGTTGCTTTCCTCAATGTTTTGTTGCTTTCCTTAATGTTTTGTTGCTATCCTTAATGTTTTGTTGCTTTCCTTAATGTTTTGTTGCTTTCCTTAATGTTTTGTTGCTATCCTTAATGTTTTGTTGCTTTCCTTAATGTGTTGTTGCTTTCCTTAATGTTTTGTTGCTTTCCTTAATGTTTTGTTGCTTTCCTTAATGTTTTGTTGCTATCCTTAATGTTTTGTTGCTTTCCTTAATGTTTTGTTGCTATCCTTAATGTTTTGTTGCTTTCCTTAATGTTTTGTTGCTATCCTTAATGTTTTGTTGCTTTCTTTAATGTTTTGTTGCTATCCTTAATGTTTTGTTGCTATCATTAATGTTTTGTTGCTATCCTTAATGTTTTGTTGCTTTCCTTAATGTGTTGTTGCTTTCCTTAATGTTTTGTTGCTATCCTTAATGTTTTGTTGCTTTCCTTAATGTTTTGTTGCTATCCTAATGTTTTGTTGCTTTCCTTAATGTTTTGTTGCTTTCCTTAATGTTTTGTTGCTATCCTTAATGTTTTGTTGCTATCCTTAATGTTTTGTTGCTTTCCTTAATGTTTTGTTGCTATCCTTAATGTTTTGTTGCTATTCTTAATGTTTTGTTGCTATCCTTAATGTTTTGTTGCTATTCTTAATGTTTTGTTGCTATCCTTAATGTTTTGTTGCTTTCCTTAATGTTTTGTTGCTATCCTTATTGTTTTGTTGCTATCCTTAATGTTTTGTTGCTATCCTTAATGTTCTGTTGCTATCCTTAATGTTTTGTTGCTATCCTTAATGTTTTGTTGCTTTCCTTAATGTTTTGTTGCTATCCTTAATGTTTTGTTGCTTTCCTTAATGTTTTGTTGCTTTCTTTAATGTTTTGTTGCTATCCTTAATGTTTTGTTGCTTTCCTTAATGTTTTGTTGCTTTCTTTAATGTTTTGTTGCTATCCTTAATGTTTTGTTGCTTTCCTTAATGTTTTGTTGCTATTCTTAATGTTTTGTTGCTATCCTTAATGTTTTGTTGCTTTCCTTAATGTTTTGTTGCTTTCCTTAATGTTTTGTTGCTTTCTTTAATGTTTTGTTGCTATCCTTAATGTTTTGTTGCTTTCCTTAATGTTTTGTTGCTATCCTTAATGTTTTGTTGCTTTCCTTAATGTTTTGTTGCTTTCCTTAATGTTTTGTTGCTTTCCTTAGTGTTTCATGCTTTCTTTAAGTGTGTTTACGCTACACATGGATTGTATTAACATACAGTTGATCATAAAATCGCTTCTAAAATATATATTTATTTATTTTTAAAGTCGTGGTTGCCTTGCCATGCATGTACAACATTTTTGTTAATAAACACTGATTTTCCCCACAGTCCAAGGTGCACACTTTTCGCCCCGGGTGCAATATGCACTAATTACTATTGTTGACTCCTCCCATACCTTACAATCACCAAAGAAACTACCTAGCTTTATAGTAACTTCTCTGTTTGTACTCTTTTGTGTGCACAACAGTCAAAGTCACCATCTTGTTCATATGAGACCCATATATCTCATGCATGTGTGTTGCGGTGTGCCTGTGAAATGGACAATATAAATCAAGAAGCAAATGATATGGACAATGTATACTAATTATCAGCGATTTGATTTGAACTAATATGACTCCACTCTGTTGTGTGTTCCTGTACAATAATAATAACTTTATTACACTACCGACCATCAGTGGGTGAAATGAACAATAACGCACTTAGATTTTACTAGTTTTATTGATTGGCATGTTTGCATCATGACATGTAAATGTAGATGAAAGTGACTGACAAAACAAAAGTATCATTTTTAATTGAATATTAGTGTAGAGGGCGCTGGACAAATCATTTTGTTAGACTCACACATTTGACAGAGGAAAGAAAAACAAATCAATCCATCTCAAAACCAAGTACAGGAAACTCACAACAGTTATTTGAGTGCTGAAATTATTATTCTTGTTTTCCTTGATTTGTCAACATTAATTCTTGTTGATACTAAAATCTAGAGAAACTGTCAGAATAATAATGAATCGCACAGTTAATTTGAATGAAATAAACTTAGTAATTGAAAAGAATGGTTATTGATATATCACATGATGCTGTATAACATTTTTATTTCTACAAGAAGTAGCAATGAAAATCATAAAATATTAATAAAAAAAGTATTGATCAATTTATATGGATAAACAGCCCTCAAGTCACTTTACAACTCCCCTTCCAGAGTTTCTGCTGGTCAATCTATTACTAAAAAGTGATGTCATTATTAAATGATACACTTCAGTTAATTTGTAGCTATTAACTAACTATTATTTAACTATTTTGATGATTGCTGTTACTAATATTTTGCAAGTATTCTATTCAATATATTCCTGAAGATAATGCTTTTTTATACATCATGAAATTTACAAAAGGGAAACTCATTATATCTAAATAAAAAATGCAGTGATTGTGTTTTTCTACAGGTCTTTGGGATCCTGACAGATTTGATTATGACTTTCTCATGGCGGGATATTTATTGTCAATGGAGAAAATGATTCAAGATGAAGAAACCCAGGTGAATGGAATCGTAGTGGTTGGTGACTATGAAGGCTTGAAAATGAAACATGTTTTGAAATTGGGTCCAACTCAGGCTAAAAAACAAATGGATTGCATAATGGTAGGTCATTAATATAATTTTGGGCTGTGAGTGTATATTCCATGATTTGGTTAATAAGTATAGGAAACCCCACATGACAAGTGTGGTGTTGTGAGGGTGTAGCCCGAAAAACACTGGCTGCTTTAAAGTGGGGGTGTGATCACCAGCGCATGCGTGAGATAGTCATAGCGTGTCATTGTTTACAAACAATTGCCTACCCATGAGCCTTTGCGTTTTTAACGTGTGTTGTTATCGTCGCTTGGGACTTAATTCCTGCGCGTACACGGGTTACGACCCTGTCACTTTAATTTAATTTGAAGTCCGAGGCAGAGACAACAGATCTTGCCAATCAACAAATCAGTCTCTTAATTTGCACCATCAGTTGATAATAACCACTCAGAAGACAGGACCACACCTTCTTTACAAATTCACTGTTTAAGATAACTCCACCATCTGTTGACACTAACCACTCAGAAGACAGGACCACACCTTCTTTACAAATTCACTGTTTAAAATAACTCCACCATCTGTTGACACTAACCACTCAGAAGACAGGACCACACCTTCTTTACAAATTCAGCGTTGAGTGGAAACCCCGGAAAACACTAAACCTGTCGAAAAACACTAAACCTGTCAAAAAACACTAAACCTGACAATAAAAACACTAAACCTGAGGTAAAGGGTGTATTATGGGTGTACCATAATCGTCCAGTCAATATTTGATTAAAAGAAAGCGAAAACATGAAACAGAACCCACGACGGCAGCTGATTTCACAAGGGCGCCCTCAATGTAATCTAAACCCTAACCCTAACCCTAACCCTAACCAATT